AATCCAGGAATTTATCCATTTCTTCTAGTGTGTGTGTGTGTGTGTGTGTGTGTGTTATGATTTGAGGGTACTAACTTTTTTGACTGTATTAAGGAGAAGATAAAAGATGGACAGAATATCAAAGACCTATGAATAAAATTACATTGTATTTCTGGGGAAGCTGAAACCTGGACAGGTTATAGGAGCTCAGTTGACTTTCCCTGAGTTTTAATCATACTAGCTCACTCCTCCCCCCATAATTCCTGGTGCAGTTTGGTGCCTGCTCTACACATAGCCTTAGGTTTTGTGAGGACCTGAAATTCCCACAAGAACTGGAGAGTCCCCAGCTTTCCACTCTTCATTCCTCTCCTTAAGCTGCCAAGCTCCTAGACTCTGAGACTTCTTACCTTTTCCTTCCTTCCTTCCTTCCTTCCTTCCTTCCTTCCTTCCTTCCATTCTCCCTCCCTCCCTCCCTCCCTCCCTCCCTTCCATTCTCCCTCCCTCCCTTCCATTCTCCCTCCCTCCCTTCCATTCTCCCTCCCTCCGTCCCTCCCTTTTTCCTTCCTTCCTTCCTTCCTCTCTCTCTCTGTCTCTCTGTTTCCTTCTTTCTCTCTTATTAATTTGTGATACTTATTTTATCTCACAATAGTGCTACTGAAGTCATTGAGAATTTACTGAGTTGGTTGGTGCTAGTTGAGCCTTTTGTTAATTTTTTTCTCATTTTGGCTGGTGGGCTTCTAAAAAACTTTCCCATTCAATATTTTGTGCTCCTACTGGACTGTCAGTCCTGTGAAATTTGGAGATGCTGCCCTTTCATGTGCTCCAAGAGCCGTGTGCTGGGATGTTAATATATTGGAGGAGGTTGGGTCTGCCAGTGACTTGGCTGCTGGGCCTATCTGAAGGGAGAGGAATCTGTCTGTCCCCCTTCTGAGAAGGCCACAGAGTTTTCAGTATGGATCTAGATCTACATGGATAAATTTGGTAGCTTTTTCCCCTTTACTTAAAAGAAATATTTATTTTATACTTTCAGGCCTCTTCTCTTTTCTTCCTCACTTTCTTCCTGTGCTGGGGATTGAACCAGGACTTACACATGCAAGAACTCTGTCACTGAGCCACATCCCTGGCCCTCTCCCTTACTTTTCTCCTTATTCTCATTAGCATATTCCTGGACCCTTACAACAATTGTTAGAAGCCAAAGGCTCAACAGGCCAGAAGAAATGAGGTCATTTTAATGGACATAATGTAAATAACAGAGTTTACTGGATACTTAATGTGTAGGGCTCTGTTCTAAGCTCATTATTGATATTAATTTATTTAATCATCAGGAAACAACTTTGTGTTAAAAGTGCGAGTGATTGAAATTCAGGCACTGGAAAGGTAGCCCTGAGGGTGACACAGGGAACCCTGAACACTCCCTAAATGGGCTCAGTATTACCAGGGGTTGCCAGGCCCCTATAATAGTTTTAATGAGATAGCTGAGGCAAATTGGAGTTAAACAACCAACCTCAGTATTGCCAGGCCCCTATAATAGTTTTAATGAGATAACTGAGGCAAATTGGAGTTAAACAACCTACCAAAGATAGAAAATTACAATACTTGGTGCCAAATCCTGGAGTTCTGGTTAGAGAGAGAAACTTTCAATTGGTGGGGAAGGGGGCAGAAAGGTGTTGTGCTAGGATCGAACCCACTCTCATAACTACTCAGTTTTAGAGGCACCGTTCTGGTTTTTTGGGGGGAAGGTGGGGGGAAGTTCACATAGTGCTCAGGGCTTGCTCGTGGCTCTGTGCCCAGGAATCAATCCTGGCAGTGCTCAGAGGATCATATGTGGTGAACCAGCATTGACTATGTATAAGGCAAATGCCTTACTCCTGTTATCTCTCTAGTCTTTCACAGTCTGTAGTTTTAACCCTACACTAGGCATTTATAAAATATTTGGTATTTATTATAAGCTAGGTCCTGGGGATTTTGAGTAAGATATGTGTTCACAGGAATTTATGGACTAGGGGATGCATTCATTACTAAAACAAGAAGTTAGAGTATCATGACCCAGGACTTCAGTAAATAATGCATAGGATGATGTGGGGAGACAGAGAAGGGTCCAGGGGAGTTGGAAAAGGCTTCAGGGTAAGCTGCCATTTGGTTGTGGCTGAAGTCTGAGTTGAGTGACAAAGGAATACATATAATGTGATCCTGAAATGGGGACCAGACCAAGAAGTAGCCTGTGGTACAGAGTTGGATTATCAGAAGCTGGATGAGGCTACAGGATGAAGTATGTGCCTCAAGTGGGGGCCTAGTGGCTAACAGAGGGGATAACAGAGGGGTGGAGACATGAAGGAAGAAATGGCATTTGGGGGCAAGTGAAGAAAATGAGGCAATTTAGTCAAGATCCAAGAAGTGATAATGAATGAGGCGTAGATATGGATGAAATGAACAAGGAAATGAGCAGAGGGTAATAATTTGGGGTAATAAGACTGCAAATTTAGAGTGATTTAGGATGGTAGATACCCTAATATTTGGAGAAAGATCAACCTGAGAGCAGGTTTAAACTGTATATTTATGGAATATAAAGTAACATAATATGAGACTAACACCTAAGGACAGTAGAGATAAGGGCCAGGAGAATCATGCCACGGTTTGGAAGCCAGCCCCACGTGCTGGGGGATAAGGCAGTTGGGATGGTGATAGAACCACTAAATAAATATGATTGGAGGGAAAGCCGTCAACTTTTGGGTATTGATTCTGTAACCTGCCACTTTACTATACAAAACTATTTTTTCTAGGAGCTTTTCTATAGAGTCTTTAGGAATTTCCAAGCATTGTATCATGTCATCTGCGGATAGTGATAGCTTGACTTCTTCCTTTCCTATTTGGATGCCCTTGATAACTTTTTCTTGCCTAACTGCTATGGGAAGTATTTCCAGTATTATACTGAATAGGGCTGGAGCAATAGCATAGCGGTAGAGTGTTTGCCTTGTACGCAGCCAACATGGCCAACCCGAGTTCTATTCCTCTGCCCCTTTCGGAGAGCCGCGCAAGCTACCGAGAGTATCTTGCCCGCACGGCAGAACCTGGCAAGCTCCCCGTGACGTATTCGATATGCCAGACACAGTAACAACAAAGTCTCCAATGGAGACGTTACTGGGCCCGCTCGAGCAAATTGATGATCAATGGGAGGGCCTTTACTTTACTTTACTTACTTACTGAATAGAAGTGGTGAGAGTGGACAACCTTGTCTTGTGCCCAGCGGGAAGGCTTTTATTTTTTTCCCACTGAGAATAATGCTTGCTGTGGGCTTGTGGTAGATGGCTTTGACTATATTGAGCAAAGTTCCTTCAACTCCCATTTTGCTGGGAGTTTTTATCCTAAATTGGTGCTGGATCTTGTCAAATGCCTTCTCTGCATCTATTGATATGATCATATGGTTTTTATCTTTCCTTTTATTGATATAATATGGGATAGAGTGATAGCACAGCGGTAGGCACTTGCCTTGCAAGCAGCCAGCCCGGCTGAGCTGGGTTCGATTCCTCCGCCCCTCTTGGAAAGCCCGACAAGCTACCGAGAGTATCGCCGGCACGGCAAAGCCTGCAAGCTACCTGTGACATATTTGATATGCCAAACACAGTAACAACAAGTCTCAAAATGGAGACATTACTGGGCCCGCTCGAGCAAAATCGATGAACAACGGAGGACAGTGTTTGTTTTGTTTGTTTATTGATATAGTGTATAATGTTGATTGACTTGAAAATGTTAAACCATCTTTCCATCCCTGGGATGAATCCTACTTGGTCTTGGTTTTCTGGTAATTTGTGTCTTCATTCTGGTTCATTTCCAGGAACCTTTTGATTTCCTTTCTAAACCACTTGTCATTCAACTCGTTATTCAGTAGTCAGCTCTTTAATTTCCAGGTGTTTGGTTTGAATTTCTGTTTCAGGTGTGATTCACTTCAATTTTCAGTGCATCATGGCCTGAAAAGATTGTTGATGCAATTTTTTTCCTCTTAATTTTATAGAGGTATGTTTTGTGTCCCAGTATGTGGTCTATCTTGGAGAATGTCCCATGTGCACTTGAGAAGAATGTGTATTCAGCAATTGGGAGATGAATTGTCCTATATATATATGTATGTATATATATGTATGTATATATATATATGTTTGTGTGTATATACATCTACTAGACCCCTGTCTTCCATTTCTTCCATCAGATAAAATATATCCTTGCTGAGCTTGAGTCTTGTTGATCTATCAAGAAGGGTTAAAGCAGTGTTGAAATCTCCAACTATTATTGTGTTGCTGTCAACGTCTTTCTTCAAGTCTATAAGCAATAATTTTAAGTATTTTGCAGGTTCCTCCTTAGGTGCATATATACATTTAGGAGTGTGAGTTCTTCCTTGTGTCCAGATCCTTTGATCAATAAGAAATAACTTTCACTCTCTCTTGTAACCTAACTCAGTCTGAAGTCTCTGTGGTCTGATATAAGTATGGCCACTTCTGCTTTTCTGAGGGAGTTGTTTGCTTGTAAGATTGTTTTCCATCCTTTCACTTTGAGTCTGTGTTTGCTCTGCCTGTTCAGATGTGTTTCTTGCAGGCAGCAGAATGTTGGATTCAATTTTCTTATCTACCCTATCCCTCTGTGCCTTTTAGTTGGTGCATTTAGCCCACTGGCATTGAGAGAGATTATCTTTATGGGGTTTTGTCCTATCTTTATGCCAAAGTTTGGTCTATTTGGGGAACTTGTCTTGTCTTAAAGTAACCCGTTTAGCTGCTCTTGTGGTCATGGTTTTGAGGCTATGAAGTTCCTGAATTGCTTTTTCTCTGTGAAGCTGTGTTTTGTTCCTTCTGATATGAATGAGAGACTAGTTAGATAAAGTATTCAAGGTGAGGCATTTATTTCATTGAGTTTGTTCACTATATCACACCACTGTCTTTGGGCCCTAGGGTTTCATCAGATAGATCTGCTGTGAATCTTAAGGATGCTCCTTAAGGATTCGATTTCTTTTTTTGATCTTGTTATTTTCAGGATTTAAAAATATAGAACACTTCATGAATTTGCGTGTCATCCTTGCGCAGGGGCCATGCTAATCTCTGTATAGCTCCAATTTTAGTGTATGTGCTGCCGAAATGAGAACTTTTTGTTAAATTTTACTATGCCTGATGGCTAGTTCACCTTATCATATCCTGAACGACACAGAGAAATCAGGGACTAAGCCTGGATTGTGTCGTATGCCCTAACGTGTCACCTGGTAGCTCCCATCTCCCCAAGCCTCCTGTATGACCCCCCACCCCAGCCTTTATTGTCCGAATTGTTTCCCAGTAAATCCTATCTGTCCTTGATGACCTTCCAGTCTCTTTGTCAGACAGGAAGTCATACCTGAAAGGGCTCAGGGCTTACTTTTGGCTCTGTGACCAGGGATCTCTCTTACCAAGCTCAGGGAACCATATAGGGTGTCAGGGATTGTACCTGGGTCGGTTGTGTGCAAAGTAAGCACCTTACCTGCTGTACTCCCCCTTTGCCCTTCTCTCTTTTCTAGTCTTTCAGGATCTATAGATGTTAGAACTTATTTATCGTTGGCAGGGGGAGAACCAGAATCTCTTCCCATTTCTTTGACAAAGTCACCACAGAGTGACGTCTTGGAGACATTTTTATCTGGAGAATGCCACTCCTGCTTTGGAAGCTGTCCTATGTCATGAGTGCCTGTTGGCCAAGAAGGGAGTCAGGAGCTGATCCTTCAGAGCCTGTTCCTGGGGACCCACGCTCAGAGGTGACATGTCAGTCAGCCCATCTGGATCTGTGCCACTGCCTTTGGTCCTGCTTGTCTCAAGACCCAATAGTTTAGCTTTTCCTTGGGTGCTACAGCATCTGCTGGCCATGGATTTGTGTCCTGAAGTAAGGTAGACTATACTCCTATTTCGATCAAAGAACTCTTTGGGGAAGGGGGGAGGGGAGGCTTTGCTCCATTTTCCCAGTCCTCTTCTAGCTCCTCTCCTGCCTAGTGTTTGATGGCTCCCTGATGCCACAAGTCTGAGATTCCCTCCAGCAGGCCCACTCCAACTGAGACCCCCCTCCCCCTCCATCCATGTCCTCCTCCTCTTTCAAGCTCTCTCTTTCCTCATGCTTACTCACCTTCGAGGCTCCACCCATTCTCCCCTCACACCTGCCATCTGCTCTTGCAGGTGGCCTTCCCTAACTCCCCAGCCATGGCCAGGTCAGTGGCTAGAGGCTGTCTCAACACACCTGCCTAGTCCTTGTCTGACATCACACTGAACTTCGTGTGTCCATGTGTATCTGTGGGGCCCGTGTGCGCTGATCATTCCTTCTCTATAGGCCAAGCTTCCTAAGGTTAGTTTTTGTTTCTCTGCATTGCACTGTCAGATGTAGCACCTGATATGGTTCACATCCCTGGCCAAGGGTTCAAAATGAAAGAAAAGTCTTTTCCTTTTGATTTTTGGGTCACACCCAGAAGTGCTCAGAATTTACTGCTGGCTCTGTGCACAGGGATCACTCCTGGAGGGACTCAGAGGGCTTTAGGGGGTGCTGGGGATCAAAGTGATTAATTCAGTTTACTTGAACTCCAGGCACATGGTGTCACCCTCCACCAGCACTCCCCCTCCCCCAAGGCAAACCCTAATCCATTAGGGGGCCAAGCAAGGTCCTTCTGAGCCAAGCCAAGCCCCTGCATCTTCTGAGCAGTGTGTGAGCAGATTCCTATACTGCCTTTTGCTCACTATTTCACCATCATCATTTCACACAGAGGAAGCAGAAGCGGAGAGACTGAGCAAGAATCAGGAAGTGACGACTGGCTGCCACCCACATTGTCCTAACTAGAAGAACATAGATGCAGTGTAAAAAGCCCATGTTGAATGACAACCGAAATGGAGGAAAAATTAAGAGGAAAAAATAGAACTAAAGAATGAAGCTCCTTGGGAAGCTGAGAGCCCGTCCCTGGGACAGTTGCCTGTTCTCTCTCTCTCTCTCTCTTTCTCGATGAGATGATGAGATGATTGTCTTAAGGAGTCTCTGCAGAAAGCTGATTTTCCCTGTCTATATTGCAAAGCCTGGAAGCTCCCCATGGCGTATTCAATATGCCAAAATAGTAACAATAACGAGTCTCATTCCCCTGACCCTGAACGAGCCTCCGAGTAAGGAGAGGCTGCTAAAATCTCAGGGCTGGAACGAATGGAGATGTTACTGAAGCCCGCTCGAGTGAATAGAGGAACAACAGGATGACAGTGATGACAGTGATACAGTGACAGTGATACATTGATTAGGCTCCAGGAGAGCAGCTGATAACTTTGTAACCTGGATTCTAACATTGACAGTCCTTGGTTGCCTGAATCACATATCAAGTTTGCATTTCATTTTTTTCCTGGGACTTGTGGGGTCCAAGGGGTCTTAATTGCTTCTTCCCTTTGGCATTTGTCTTTATGTCTCTGTACCTTTTGTCTAGACTTTCTGCAGCAAGTAGTTCATAGACATTGGCGCCCCCTGCTGTCCGAAAGCAGCTTTGCAGCAACTTTGAGCGTAGCGTGGTTAGGTCCTGACGCTGTGTGAAGTAAGGGATTGAATCCTGATGGTCAGTTCCCAAATCCGAGGGTTGGATCCGCTGGTCTCCTCTTCCCTGAGTGTTCACTATCGAGTTTTTTAGATGCTTTTGGGTTTCACGTCACATATATGAGACTGAATTAACAGGATCCACTTCATAGTGTTTGTACCTTACCAAGGTAGTGTATATATAAAGCACGGCTATTGTCCAAGTAAGTACCAAGTAATAATAATATTAATAATAACAGTGAGCCCCCTGCTAGCGGATACAGGCCCTCGCTATCCTCATATAGAGGTTGCAGTGGTGGGATAGCTCAGACTGTGCTGGAATTGGTGAGAGTTGGGGGTCAGGAGGGCTGGAGATATACCCGGAGGCCCCTCCTCGGGCTACCAAAGGACTAGCCTTGCTGGCGGCCTCAGTTCCCCACTTCTGAGCTCTCAGACCTTTCTAGCTGCAGCCTTGGGCTGGGTGCATCCACTTCTGGTTCCCAGTTGCCTCCAGTATCCTCCCACTCCTCACGTAGGAAACACACAGGATTCTTTGGGTGCTCGCTCCTGCCCTCCCCTGCCACCCTGTAGGAACAGAGCTGGTGCCGAGCAACGGGGCTCTGGGTCCCAGGCTGCCCTCACAGGCAGTGCTGGGCTGGTGGGTCTGAGTCTTGAGGTATTGGGGTAGCCTAGGCATTCTGGGGTGCTCGGGGAACAGGGGAAGGGCGGCCCACAGCCTGTCTTCGGAGGTCAACAGGGCCCTTCATGCTCTGCCTCTGCATTCTCACCAGGTTTTTGACTTCCTTCCTTCCTTCCTTCCTTCCTTCCTTCCTTCTTTCCTTCCTTCCTCCTTCCTTTCTTTTTTTCTTCCACACCCGGCAATGCTCAGGGCTTACCCCTGACTCTGTGTTCAGGGGTTACGGCTGGCAGGTCTCAGAGGACCATATGGGGTGCCAGGGATCGAAGCCAGGTAAGCCACATGCAACGTAAGTACCCTCCCCCTCTACTATCGCTCTGGTCTCATGACTGTTTAATTTTCTTGTGCTTGTGTGTTACCACATACATGAATGCAAGTTTGGGCCTGTGATTCTGTTATGTGATCAGATAAGATACAAATGGCAGGTTGGATTTAAACTTCAAAGAGACGAGGAGTCATTTGTGTTTGTTTTTGGGCTCCACCTCTGGGGTGCTCCCAGCTCAACATGTAGGAACCGCGGGTCCTGCTCATGGGTTGGAACCTGGTTCTCCTGTGAGCAAAGCCTGTGCTCAGTCAGAGAGCTCTCCAACCCCATTAAAAAAATTAAAAAGTAAAAAAAAACCCTTAATATTGCCTGGGACTTACTTAAAAAAATAGCTTTGCTTGTTTATCTGAGACTGATGTTTAACTGGTGTCCTCTATTTTTATTTTAAATCTGGCAAGTGTTTTCTGATCTGCCCAGTTCGAGCCCTTCCCAAGTTCAGGAACTTTTGGGGGCATGCTACTGACCTGACAGCAGGACTTAAAACTAGAACCCTTCCTAGGGGTACCTGCTCCCCTACCTCCCTCCTGCCTTTAGCTGCACCAATAGGGCCTGCTGTGTATGCTGGGCTCCAGTGTGGACCAGCGAAGATGACCATGTCCTGTGCAGAGAAGGAGAAGAGGTGTCACCAGCCCGAGATAATCCGGGTGATCAGGGAATCCTGAGTTCCCCTGGTGTCCCAGGATCACACTTCCTCTTGGAAATCCCTTCCTTTCCTGACCCCTGCCCGGAGGAGTTCAAACCACACTGTTTTGGCATCATCTCCTGTTCCAGGGGCCACATTCCTGAAATGGCTCACAGGGGAGGGTGGGAAGCCCTGGAGAGAAAGTCCTTTGGTCATGGACTGGGTCTTGCCCTGAGTTGGCTGGGTCTCTTTTGTGTCTGGATCAGGTGAAGAACATCTTGATATGGGTTAGGTAAGGTCCAATCGGTAAGAGGACTGGCCCAGTATGTGACAGTACATGAGGGACATATATAATGGTACAGAACCGGACAAACATGATGGCATGTGATGGGTCTTGTTTGATGGTATAGGACAGGACACACATGATGGTACAGACTCTGTACTAATATGTACATATGGGACATACATGGTGGAACATGTATGATGGGGTATGCATGATGGGGCATTTATCAGGGGGTTTGTGAACAGGATGTGACATGCATGCAGATACAGGATAGGATACGTATGATGAGACACTTATGGCAGTACAGTACATGAAGTATATGTATAATGGTAAAAGATGGGACAAGACAGGACGCATATGATAGTACAGGGAGGGTATGTATAACAGCACAGGGTGGGGCATGTAAGATGGTATAGGACAGGACATATATGACTGTATAAGATGAGACATGTGATAGTACATGATGGAACACATATGGTTTCATAGAAGGGCACATGTGATGGTATAGGGGAACATGTATGACAGTATAGCATGGGACATGAATGACAGTACTGATGGGACATGTACAGTGGTATGGGACAAGATACATCTTCTTATAGCTGGGAAAGGCCTGCTAATGCTGTTACAAGTACCTTGAAGGCCTCTGGCAGAACAGAGACTCCCTGGCCCTG